CAAGGCAAACCTTACTCCTCCTAGTATAGAAGCCAGACTCACAATCAATGAAGATGTAGAAGGAAACAAGACCTCATGGTGTAGTAGGATCAAACTAGGAAAGCTACAATTTCTGGGGAAATTGTGTGAAGTGTTCTTTCCTCCACCAGTAGTCTACAACTGGAGTGGGCGGAGTATCTGGGTGGAGTGGCTTGTCACTCTGCTACCTGCTCACACACCTGGGTTCCTATGGAAACTCACTCTACAGCAAGGGCAGAGAAGAGCGGTTAAAAACAAACTGCTCCAACTTGCTCACTTCACTGGTGGTTGCCATCTTCAAACGGTTGTAGTTTAAAAATTTTAAATCCTACACCGAAGAGCTTTGTATTGTCAGAATCACAAGACCCAGACCTACATTTTGATGCATAGTATGTCTCTGAAATATTAAAAATGAAGGCACAGTCGCAGTTTACAAATTGCCCTTCAAATTTGAGGTGGCTAGAGTGGAGTTTCAATGAATGTCAATGGGCGGCGTGACTTGCAAACAAATGGTCATATTGTGAAAACTATCAGGACTATGGCTTAGCCGTGGACATTTTTAGTGCCAGCAGGGATAACTGAACATTTGATATAAAATTTGTGTAGGTGGGCTTGAAAATGAGGGAGTGATGGCTGTTTAGAAATCATGTGCTGATTTTTCAGCTCACACTCTAGCTTTTGTCAGCTCCCACTCTAGTTTTGAACATTTCTCCATTCATTCCTATGGGACCAATTTCACCACAAAAACGCTGATATTTTGTGAACCATTCGGCAAAACGTTCCACAAAGTAGTAGCACACCAATCGGGAACAATCCACACGTTTCGGTATAATTACTGTCTATGTAGTGTAAAAAACTGTGGGAGGAGTTAGGGTGGTATATTTGGCTATAATAAGAAATATACAGTATATGTGAGATAACAGTATGTGGTCTTGCCATGCAAGAACACTTAATTACCTCTTTTATCAAAATATAAAAAATGTGCACTCACATAATAAACATCGGTACCCATGATACATATAGGTAAAAGAAAATTCCAATCTGTGTATGATCAGACACTTTCTTACGCGTTTCCTCACACAATAAAGTGTCCACACCCCTGATGACATCATTGTGTGATGAAACATGCAGGGTGGAGTCTACTGTGAAGTGTGACATCATTATGCACATCGGCCTCAACTGAACGATTAGAATTTGCTTTCACTTTTATGTATGATGGTACCAATGTTTATTATGTGAGTGCTTACTATTTTTTTTAAATGTTCATAAAAGAGATAATTTGATCTAACTACACCATGAGGTCTTGCTTCGATCTCTGTGAGTCTGGCTTCTATACTGGGAGGAGTGAGGTTTTTCCTTGGATGCTTGGGATTGATCCCACAAGCACCTTGGACCACTCATTATTTGTGTGTCCTATTGATATAAGCAGTAAATGTTTACTGTATTGTCCCTTCTGGATGTGCCATCAGTCTGAGCTGGAGATTTGGGGTGATTGTCACTCCCTTTTGAAGTCTACACAAGTTTCACACTGGACTTTTTCCTGAGCACATTGTGATTGTTCACAATTTGGTCTGTGCGTGGTTTATTTCACACTCACTCTTTGATTGTTGGTTCTTCACAGACACATTTTTTACACTTTTTTTTGCACATATTATTTTAACATATTTGTTTTTGCATGAAGTTTTGTTCACACAGCATTTTATATTGCAAGTTTATTTTATGTAGAAATGTTGCACTTTTTGGTTTGGTTTTTATGGCCAACTTTGATATCAACCAATGTATGTGCTGGCTGGCATCTCTTGATGTGTCAGATAATAACCAGAATTTCATGGTTTAAAATATCCCTATGCGGATGTTATAGACATGTAGATTTGTTCCTGTTAAGGAACAAAAGGAAGAGGGTATTTTGGTGATAAACTTGGAGTGATATACAGTACATGCTTGTTCTATGTTGGTTAGGATTGCAAGGTGTGAATTTTCACAGCATCTCAAATATGTACTGATTTGTTGCAGGTCTGAAATAGAAAAGCACAACATGTTTACCTGTTACATTGTAATTGAAGTGCAGTGTGTCAACAGTAATTTGTCATTAGCCTTAAAATGTAGTTCGAGGTTATGTGTTTGTTTTCTGTTACTATTCACAAAGCATAGCTAAAAATAATTAAACATAAATTCTAATCCTTTTTGTTTCTTTGGAGCTGGTTTATACTTTGGGCTGCAAGCTATTCTGAATGTCAATGTAAAATTTGGGAGACGAACTAAGGGCAGGTGCATGAACATACAATGTATCCCCCAAGCCTTGTGACCCTTTGTTAGGTAAGACAATGATCAAATCTAGTGTACAACTGATAATGCGATCTGCCAGCACAGTACTGACAGTCCCCTACCTTGACATTACATAGAGAAGGAAAGCTAGGTAGGATTTTTAAGTAAGTAAAAAGCAAGCTACATTATGTGAATGGGAACATGTAACATATATGGCCTCATTCACACAGGACATTTTAAAAACGCTCCTTCTCTTGGAGCAGTGTTTTACCAGAAAAAACTCTTGAAGCTTGTCAAAGCATCAAAGTGTTTAGGTACATTTACAAGGGTCAAGCACTTGAGCGTTAATTCATTTAATTGACCAGAATAATAATTATGGCCATTAATATGAATTAACGCTAAAAACATTAAACGTGCCTAGCGTTAACACGCGTTTAGGTGCATTTAGATGCGTTTACAAGCATCAAGCATTTTTTCTGCCAAAACGCTGCTGCTCCTGGATGCACTGTCCCTGAGTTTTTTTTTCCTGCTGGTAAACACTACTGCTACTAAAAGCTTCTAACTGTCTGTGTGCATGGACACATTGATAACATGGAGGGCCATATGGAAGCAGTAAAAAAAATGCCTGACAGCCCTAAAAGTGGCTGCAAAAATGCCCTGTCTGCATGAGGCCTTTAAAGTAGGTCTTGTCCGAAATTGGCTATAAAAAGTGAAAATATACTTTAAGCTGTTATTAATTACCAAGTTGCAATTTCAAGAAAATCAGTGTTTCTCAGCACAAGTAGACTTCAATGCCGTAAAGTGTTCTTTTGCCATAGATAGATTTGGCTGCAGATAGGAGACATGCAGGATCTCAGTGGTTAATAAAGCATTACGGGTTAAGGTTGAGGTTTATGGGGTTGAGTGATAGGTTTGATTTTAGGGTTAAGATAAAATGTATCAGGTTTATTTTCTAGGTGTTAGTTTAAAGCAGAATGAAAACCTTTTTGTGAGACATTGCTCCCAGGTAGGCTTTTATTGCAGGAGATACTCTGTATGTCTTCTTCAATAAAAGCTCCTCTTCTGCCTGCCAGTAATGTGTTTATAAATGTGCAGCTCAGTGTACATTCTCAGCACACTTTGCTTCTAAAATGGATTTATTCCATGCACATGGGTGGGAGTTAAATAATCCTGGGCTGGTCAATCAAGATAGCCAAAGATGCAAAACCCAGAACACTGCATGAACAGATCAATGTTGGTGGCAGAGCAACATAGGAGATCACAGCCATTGCAGTACTGGAGAGGAATAAAGTCTGCCATAATGTGATGTGAGTGAAGATCACCCACTGTTGCAAATTTAGCTCAATTAAAGGGTTAATCCCAGGATGAGGGTAAAGGTTAGGACTCATGTTAAATATTAAGGGCCAATTTGCTAGGATTAGGATATAAAGATCATGTACCCTACCCCCTAACATGCAACTGCGCACATATTGGTCCAGCATTTAGGTGGTTCAAAACAGGCAGTAAGGAGGCAATACAATATATCCCATCAACTATCAAATGCTCTGGAATGGGGATGGCTTTTTAGAGAGCAAAGCAAATGTAAATGAGGCCTATCTATATAGTTTAAATGAAACTAGTGTCAGTAGTTTGAGCTAATAAGAGCTAATCAGATTTACTGTCTGCAAATATACACTATATTTTCAAAACTATTGGAACGCCTGCCTTTAAACCTGCACCTTTACGCCTGTACACGCACATGAACTTTAATGGCATCTCAGGCTTAGTCCACAGGGTTCAATATTGAGTTGGCCCACCCTTTGCAGCTACAACAGCTTCAACTCTTCTGGAAAGCTGCCCACAAGGTTTAGGAGTGTGTCTATGGGAATGTTTGACCATTCTTCCAGAAGTGCATTTGTGAGGTCAGGCACTACTATCGGACGAGAAGGCCTGGCTCACAGTCTCTAAGCTAATTCATCCCAAAGGTGTTCTATTGGGTTGAGGTCAGAATTCTGTGCAGGCCAGTCAAGTTCCTCCACCCCAAAAATCGCTCATCCATGTCTTTGTGCAATGGTGTGCAGTCATGTTGGAAGAGGAAGGGGCCATCCCTAAACTGTTCCCACAAAGTTGGGAGCATGAAATTGTCCAAAATGTCTTGGTATGCTGATGCCTGAAGAGTTCCCTTCACTGGAACTAAGGGGTCAAGCCGAACCCCTAAAAAACTACCCCACAACATAATCAACCCTCCACCAAACTTTACACTTGGCACAATGCAGTCAGGCAAGTATCGTTCTTCTGGCAACCGCCAAACTCAGACATGTCCATCGGACTGCCAGACAGAGAGGCGTGTTTCATCACTCCAGAAAACATGTCTCCACTGCTCTAGAGTCCAATGGTAGCGTGGTTTACACCACGGCATCTGACGCTTTGCATTGCGCTTGATGATGTAAGGCTTGGATGCAGCTGCTCGACCATGAAAACCCATCCCTTCAAGCTCTCTATGCACTGTTGTGCTAATCTGAAGGCCACATGAAGTTTGGAGGTCTTTAGCTATTGACTGCAGACAGTTGGCAAGTTCTGCGCACTGTGCACTTCAGCATGCACTGACTTTACTCTGTCATTTTACGTGGCCTAACACTTTGTGGCTGAGTAGCTGTTGCTCTTGGTTGCTTCCATTTTGTTATAATACCACTAACAGTTGACCGTGGAATATTTAGTAGGTGGCAACAGGTGGCAACCTATCACAGTACCACGCTTGAATTCACTGAGCTCCTGAAAGCGTCCCATTCTTTCACAAATGTTAGTAGAAGCAGTCTGCATGCCTGGGTGCTTGATTTTATACTCTTGTGGCCATGGAGGTGATTGAAACACCTGAATCAAATGATTTGGAGGGGTGTCCCAATGCTTTTGGCAATATAGTGTACTTACAACAGTCATCTACTGCTCCTTCACTGTCTAGTCTAGCTGTGTTGCTTGACTGCATTAGAGAAAATTCAGGTCTCATCAGTCAGTGCTGTTTGGCAAAGCTGTGTAAATCTCAGGACAGGATTGTCATAATTACATATCTTATGGTAAGGAATACAGATCGATCTCTCTCTCATATATATATATATATATATATATACATACATCAACTGTGGATTTAACAAATCTTTGAGTAGACTTACTCTTTAAAACTGACTCAACACCATACATACACCATATTTATTTGTTTTCCTTCTGCTGAAAACTGCTAATACCAGGCTCAGGAACTGGAAGTGGGGGGGAAAACATGCTATAGGCTGATGCCAAGGACTGAAGTTGAGAATTACTTGTCTGGGAATGTCACGTTATATGTGATTGAGGAATGGCATTTTTAAAACTCCTTCAGAGTGAAAGATAGTTTCTGCATGAGTATTGCTCATTATATGCAAAAATAGTAAGCAGCATGTAGATAAATACAGCAGAAAGGGCATACACTGTGCCAAAAAAAAAGGATTTTCTCCATATATGTAATTTTTTTTTGTTTTTTTATTTTTTACGTTGTAGGATTCTGTATTCTAATATGTTAATTATTATTATACAGTATTTTTAAAGCACCAATAGTTCACTCAGCGCTGTACATTAAAAAGGGGGACAGAACATGTGACAGAACAATACCAATACAATGCAAAACATGAGGGGATTGAGGGCCCTGCTCTTTCGAGCTTACAATCTAGGAGGGAGGGGAGGGTGGCACAGGAGGAGATAGCTGTGGGGGATGGAGTCAACTATAACCTTATCATACAAAGACATCAAAATAATTTATGACTGCCACTTATACTTCAAACATGTATTCCATTCTTTAAAGAAAACTACAATAAGGAAAGTAAAACAACTAAACCCTTAAATATAATAAAGGGAATTTTGCTGCTTCTGACTTAATATCTATTTAATTAATTGTCAGCACAATTCACACAGAGAGGCATCACATCAAACAATACTAGAAAATCAATTTAAATGCAGATAAAAATTAGAAAATGCCTAAGTCATCATTAGTCTTGATGTCAAATTATGGCAATTAGAAATGTTTGGGTAGTCTTATGATTAATACATTGAGGAAATTTTAACTTACTGAATAAATTAAGTATTCTTTCATCCTACTACTGTAGGTGTATCATTGACAACAAATTGACCGTATTTTATTCATATACGCTGTAGTGTTGCCAACATATAGGTAACTTGAGCTGCTTAAACTACACATACAAAATATTTACAAATAAATTTATATATTATCTGTTTGTTTCACCCAAACAATTTTCATTTACAAATGATTAATTTAAAAGGAGGCAGTGGGGTTGATTTCCTAAAACTGAAGAATGCTAAATCAGGTGCAGCTCTGCATAGTAACCAGTCTGCTCTGCATAGAAACCAATCAGCCAGCTGACTGGCTATCATGCACAGCTGCACCCCATTTTACACTCTCCAGTTTTAGTAAATCAACCCCATTGCCTTAATCATTTTTCCTTTGTGCAGATACCTAGTAGAATGAAAGAGGTAGTCCACATTTGTGCCCAATATGAATAATTTAAAACAGCTTTAAACAGACACTGGGGTTGGTTTACTAATGAGGCATAGGCTGTTTACTTTGCAAGAGGATTTCCTCTTTGCAAGGGAATTTTCCCTCAGGTTTATGAATGTGGTGAACATTCAGTTTGCAAAGAATACCCAATCGTGAAAAATAAGAACAATATTTTGCTTGTAGATGATTGGACAATAGAAGTCAGCAGAGCTTGGCCATTTACTGAGCTAAGGGAAAATTCCCCATATAAATATATAAAATGATTACATACTATTAAACACACATGTATATTAATACCACATATCTTTTAGAGTTTGAACTCTACACATTTTTGTATAGCCATCTACAGATAGGCAACTATTTTGAACATTTCTTGCTATAAATAATTACCCAATCATGTGCAAGAAAAATAAGAACAATATTTTGCTTGTAGATGATTGGACAATAGAAGTCAGCAGAGCTTGGCCATTTACTGAGCTAAGGGAAAATTCCTCATATACATATATAAAATGATTACATACTATTAAAACACACATATATATTAATACCATATATTTTTTAGAGTTTGAAGTCTAAACATTTTTGTATAGCCATCTACAGATAGGCAACTATTTTGAACATTTCGTGCTATAAATAGTTACATCTCAGACTGTGTATGTAATAGAGGGTGACAACAGATGACTCCGAGCATCAGAAGAGATCAGTATCACATATTGTACATTGATTTAATGTGTGCAATATTTTTTTGTGAAAAACCTTTTCCCAATTGCACGTCACAACTACTTGTCAACCAAGCCAGAGAGAATCCCTATTTCTGCAAGTATGGAAAACCTAAGGCAGATGTTTTACCACCCATCACTCTTGTTTAGATATCTTTGTCTGTGGATAAATCATACACAGGTTTGTTTTATTAAGAACCCAATTGCTTGCTATGGGCAAAAGCTGCATTTTTTATACACCCACATTCCCAAAAAGTTGGGAACCTGTGCAAATTCTACAAAAAATTAGCAAATCTCATGAACCCATATTTTATTTACAATAGAAAGTGGAAAGCATATCAAATATTTAAACTGAGAAAATGTCTCATTTTAAGAAAAAAAATAATAGTCATAGTTGTCAAGGACACGCCAGCGGTCCGGACGCCCGCTCATTAACAACCAGCTATTAATAAATCAATCATTTGTTATTTTGGGCACTTTAAACATCCAAATTAAGTAATACATTTTGTTGTTTCTTTACAATTTACTTCGGAATTGTTGAAATTTGTTACTGTTGTTATTCGGAGATTCGGCCCTTGAGAACGGCCTATTGGTTGAAATGCATTGGGGACAAAGCTTATGCTGATATCATTACACCAGCTGGAGCTACAGTAGCAGTGGTGGTGGGTATGCTTACATGCGATTTATAATTGTACCTATGTAAGTAATTGCACAAATACAATAAATCTGCAGGTTGCACTATGGAATGCTTGCTTATCTCTTACATGGCGGAGCAGAGCTGCAAACGGTGAATAACTGCTGATGTACACTAGAGTTCCTTGGTGCCATTGAACAACCTGTTGCTGTGAGATCCAATATTTTTCTAAGGCTGTGGATGTATGATTACTGACAACATGCTGTTATAAGACCACCTATCATTTGGGGTCTTATTGCTTGGTAAGAGACTTCAATTGGTGGTGATGTTGAATTCACAAGGCTGCTTATTGTCACTCACAAGTGGAAACAAATGGAAAGATTTGCAATGGTGGCAAAAACCCAGCTACACATAACTACTTATTTAATTTAGACATTTGCATACAGGCAGTGGACTTCCATCAGCATCTATGTTTATTGATTTATTAATTGGTATTTTTTTATGTCACTTTGGTATAGTGATGTCACCCTCTGAATTTTCATTTTTTTCTTTTGTATTTGGATTTATGGTGTTAATACACATATCACATTTATTTTTGATAACATTATGATCCTTTGTATTGGGATACATTTAACTAAATCACATTTAGTTTAATAACATAACGCAACATTTGTATTCTTTTAATTTCGGTTCAGCACTGGTATTATGTGTTGTTTGTAAGTGCAGCTGTGGGTGTTTTTTTGTTTTGATTTTTGTTTGATGCTGAGCACCAAGCACAGTTTTTCTAACAGTTAAATACATACTTGAATATAATTCTTTTGAAATCTGAGTTTAGTGTTACTTTATAGAAGGATGTCAGATCTACTTGCATGGGTCTTGTGTACCAATCTGTTTTGTCTCTGGAACTTTGCATTGGCAATTCAAATCCAGCTCTAAATTGGTATTGAATTTATAATTTATTTAACTGTGATCCAGTATCCATTCTGCGCCCCAGCAAATTATTTTTGACCACTGTAGTAGATTCTGAAACTGCCTTGTAGCACCTTTCTGAACCAGCTGTGTCACCTAAATAGCCAACTGTAATGATAGAATACACTAACTGTAGAAGAGCAGTCTTAACATAAAAGTACGTATTAATACTTGACGATGGAGAAAATATTGAAATGTACACTATATACACAAATTTAATTGGTGACAAAGCCCAGCAAATTAACTACAAATTACTTACCAGATGGTACAGGTGCTAAGTGCCACTGAAACAGATGTCTCCGTCAAACTCACATGTACACTGGCAGTGTTTTCAAAATACGATAAATATATCACATATCTGGTGGTACTGACCCAAACATAACCTTTCATTGTGAGAGTGCTACAAATCAGCAAGAAGGTACTTAGCAATGAGTGACATTCTTTGACCCATATCTTTAATTAATCCATACTTCTGCCTATGAAATATACCTCCCCAGCAGCACATTTAGCAAATTTACTGCCACATTTAGAATAAGAGGTTAATGGATCTGCTGCAATGGAGATGATTCGTTCACTGCTGGTGAGGAGTGGTATAATCACCGCTCAGTATTACCGAAGTCTGGGCAAGCTCACAAGACTACAGGTGCATGCAATGCACAGCCATTAGAGAAAAATTGGTTAATCAAGCATCTGTCACTTGGTGCATTGAATGTGCCATTGTCCTCTAATAGTAGTTTATTGACTTCAGAACACGTTGGAGCCTGCAGGCTGTTAGGGTGTGCGCAAAGACATCTTTTATCAAAATTGATTTAGATTGTTCTAATTTTATACAGTTTTGTGCAAACATTTTTTTTCATTAGTCCATACAGCTAAATCATTGTTTAGCAATACTTAGTTTATATCATTTGAATAGTCTCATCAGTTGCCCCCCACCTCCACACACAGAGGCAGCAAGGTTCATATCCTGCCAATCGATGGCTGCTTTTGCTGGGACTCTGCAATGCTGGGAGATAAATCTTCAGTTTCTGTTCC